GCAGCGTAGCACACACCTTTTGCATCCATTCGAAAATGCCTGGAACGCGCCATGACGAAGTGTCCACGCGGCACGCCAGGCCGTCGGGAATCACACGGGGCAGATTCTCTTGAAAACCACCACCAGTTATGTGGACGACACCCTGTGTGCACAGCTGCAATCAGGACAAGTTGCGGAACGAAAAATGTGTCTTTCTTGAACTATTCGACCACCGATTGGCGATTGCAGGGTACAGAATGCTGGTACCAATTCTGTCATCGCAGCTTTGCTCTGGGGCGGCGCGGAATACAATCATAATTGATCACAATTGATCTGGCTGTGTGATTGCAGCTGCGTATGGCTCGGTTGTTTCGTAGGTCCACTTGCGCCCTCACCTTAAGGCCCACAGCTTCATGCATTTTCAGAACGTCTTTCACGTATATCCTTGTTGGCTCCAGCAGGCAGCTGCCAAACGTCCCTTTGCCCCAAGGTACACGATCTGACAAGGAAGTCTTGGTGACCTGGGCAGATTCGCAGTACTTCTGATGAACTCAAAGTGGCACAAATGCAACAGCTCACATCAAACACAGGAGCAAGCCTGGCAAATATGGCCCTGAAGTGCATTTAACTGGAACTAGAGGCCAATGTGTACAATTTGTTGAACGATAGCTGTCATTCTCAATCATCCAATATTAATGGCAAGTGCAGATGAAAGCAATGATCAGAGTTGTGGTGCCATGCTTCGCATCACAGGCTGTGTCCATTCCACTGCCTACTGCAGAATTCCCAGATCCAAAATAAACGTAGTGGCGTCACAAACACTATCAAACAAGGTGCCTGTCAGGAACTGCTCCTGATCCAACATCAGCATACACAAAAGCGGTAGTTGGAGGGCGAAAGTATATAGTCTTCGAGGCAACGTGAACATGCACACTGGTCATGGGAAGCGTCTCTATTAAATTTCGATGCCACAATTGCAGCAGATATAAAAGCGCAGGCATTCTACCCTACCAAATCTTTTGACATGGCAATAAATGCCCCAGGCAAAAGCACTGCATGATCAGACAATGGCATTTGCACACCAGGTTGCCTGAAATACAAGATCTCACATCGGTTTCACATGAACTAGGCCTGATACCGACTGCTGAAACTTTAGGGGCGGCCACTGCACTGTTGTACTCTGTACTACAAGGCATTTGCTGAGCTTCATTGTGCTCAGCATTGCACCGTGACAGCTTCTGCCACACACTCAACATACCTCGAGCACTTTCCTCACCAACGAAAATCCGTTGGAATGGACACCACTGGAGGCGATGCCCAGCAGGACATCCCCTGCAACGATGTTCTTTCCATCTATGACAGAATCTTTCTTCACGGCACCAACAGCGAACCCAGCAATGTCGTACTCCCCCACCTTATAGAATCCAGGCATCTCTGCAGTCTGCAGGTACAGATTATATGTTCAGGTTCAAAGTGCTGTTGATTGCAAGGGCACCATTTGGCTGGCTGGACAATATTTCAACACATAGCCTGAAAGGTTTAGGTCATAGTCTGGTCAGAATGTAAATCTGCTAGAATGCAGTTAACCCGAGGATTGTGGGCCAATAGCGCTGGGAGGCTCATGCGGAGGCTCATGTGCAAATTTTGTACATTGTTTTGCTATTTGGGCTGCAATGCAATAGTACCTGGAGATGCCTGAGAACTGAGAGATAAGTTAGCATTGGCATTATGTGCATTGGCATAATGGTGAGCGAGTGGAACACTGTTCCAACAGGAAGCTTCGGTTCGTGTTTCCACAGCAGGATTCATTTCAAAAGATCAGGAACAAAGACAATGAAACCTTGGAGGCCATCTGGGTAGTCGATCAGCTTCCCCTGTGTCGTCCTCATGAACCTGGCGCTCTATGAAGGATCTGCAACCCTTGGGAGCCAATTCTATCAACAATATACTCGCACTGCACCACTCAAGAGAATTCTGCAAATGCTTCTCACATTAGCCATGGGCACTGTTCTATGGCACTGGGACTTCCCTGGCAACTGATGGCTATCTGCAGGCTTAACAATCCCAGAACATTGGAATCAGAAACAGCAACGCACACAGCCACTCACTTCTCCCCCAAGCAATGTACACCCTGACTGCCTGCAGCCCTCAACTATGCCCGCAACAACCTGCAACAAGCCAAAAGGGTGAACTACAACTGAGAACACAAAGCATGTGAGATTCGTATCATGAAAGATGCACAGACCTCCTGGTTCAATGCCTGAAACATGCCATCATAATGAGCTACATGAGCTTAATATGCTATCATAAAAATACACCAATTCCATCGCGCACAAGAGCAATACAGATTGACCTTAGACAGGCAACAATGCTTCTTGCCAAGTGTGGTAAAATATCTGTTTGACATCAGCGTGGGAATTACAATATATCAACACAGGAATGCAACTTCAGGCTTTGGAGAACTTTTATGCACAAAGATGCAGCCACATCAAAATAGCGTTTCTCCCATTAGAAGCCCTCGAATCAGCAACACAACTTAAATGCATAGAGTCCAAATCATGCCACAAAAAATGACTGGATCAAGCTGTGTAGACAATTCAGATTGTCATGCAGGCAAATCTGCAAGCAAGTGCTTTACACCTTGCAAGTTTCTGCAAGTTGCTACAACACTGTGTGACCATGAAAGCCAATTCCAGGGAAATATGGCAAGCAACACTTAATACAACAAATCTCACTAACAGCACTCGTTGCAACAATGCTCTCTATAGCAACACTTACATCAAAACCAGCATTTTATGTGTGCACAAGTATTTACTTGCATGCAATTCCAGGTTGATGGCATATCATCTCCCAAAGTCTCACCTGTTCTGCAACATCAACATCCAGAACCCCTGTAGCATAGTAATCCAAGAAAAAGAGGGGCTGTGCACCTGTTGTTATGATATCATTCACACTCATAGCAACGAGGTCGATCCCAATGCTGCTGTGGTTGTTGAGCTCAAACGCCAAGCGAAGCTTTGTACCCACTCCATCTGTGCCAGCTACAAGATAAGAGTCACCTGCACCCACCAAAGTTGCCATCAGCCATTGCCCAACGCTCTGCCCTTGCCTGACATCTCAGTACGGGGGATCCCATTTCAACACCCGTACCAAGGCTCCAGTATCAACACTTAACATGCTTCTTCCATCATGTTCTTTCAAGGTGGCATCATAACAGCCTTAATTTAAGTTCCCTCCCCTCCTCCTCCTCCCTGGCTCGTTTTCCAGGTACCAAAGGGGGATGACGAGCTCCTGACAATATCTATTTACAGCTGAAATGGATTCCTGTGGGTAACAACGCTCACAACAAGACAGAACACTGCCCGTTCATCTGCAAGTCGATGTCAGGCTTAATTCAGTGCACAAAGAGTGTTCACATAGAATGGTTCATATCATGTCCATCCAGAGTCCGTTGGACCCCCCATGCAGTCGTCCAAGAAAAAGAACAGCAAACGATGTGGCCCCTATCATAACATGAAGCAGCTAGAATACTCAGGAGAGCATTGTGGCACGTGCTATGAGTCTTGAGATTTCAGTTATTGTCTTGGAAAAGAATGCAACAGAAGGCAACTCAGATCAACATAATTGTGGATGAACGCTTCAGGGCCAGAGTTGCCCAATTCAAAGAAAACTGCAACACTGGCACTTCGTTCTTGCAGGATAAAATACCTGTCTGCCAACATGTATTTCCATCCCGCCGGATTTCTTCTTCGAAACAACTGAAACACGGCACAATGGATCAAGCCAACTGTGCACAAATATCCCAACAAAACTGGTGCAAAATGGCGCCAAGTTCAGCGAGCCCCACCCAACAGTGTCCATCATGGCATTTCAACCTTGCCGCTAACCGTTTTCTTTTCCCTTCACGCACCGTGATCTCTACCGCTTTGCGCTACCCACCGAAGGGCACCAGACCACTGAACCCCCCGATGTCGGGATTCATCTTCTTGATCCGCCTCACGAGCTCAGTCCCGGCGTCGATATCCACGCCCGCACCCTTGTAAGTGAGGCCCACGTCGTTCCCCGCGCCTCCGGCGCATCCAATTCTGCCCATCAGCCCGGCGGGATCAGTGCCGCCAGGCAGCCTCCGCCTGGAATCGCGATCAGGTCTGCCATTCCTGACAAGTCCCTGCCATCGGGGACCGTGTTGTGGTCCGGTGGCCGGGAGCGCCGAGCCGGGCGCCCCGGGTTTGGCCGAACCCCGCATTCCGGACGATTGGGCAGCCTATCTACGCCGCAGTTCTTCTGCAACAGTCTGCACAACAAAGTTGGGTAAGGACGGGCCCGGGACGGGCGAGGGATAAGGATGGCTAGGGGCATCTTGATTTCCCAACCAAAATGCTGCATTCGGTACGGCAGCCAGCCCACCGAACAAATTAGATGATAAGAAATTGCCGTGTACCGCTTTCCCATGGTGTGCGTTCGTAAATGGGCGCTCGGCATGGGGGATTGGACACGAGTCTTCCGGCCTGAGAACAATCGTCGACATGTGGACATGCGTGCAGTCTTTATGTACACAGGGCCTGCATTTTCAGTATTTTTACGCGTTTTTACGCATAAAAAAAGCACATACGATTTTCACACGTAAATACGTGAATACGCACTATGCTTGTGCCGTAGTGGCCAAGCCTGCTTGTGTGGACGCCCCCGTGTTTCGAAGCGACTCAAAAATGAATGTCAGCGCGTCCGTGTTCAGCCTATAGTGGCTTCAAAGGGTACATATCCACGGATGTCCCTGTACAATTTCTTTTATTTTCTTTCCTCTTGCTCTGGGGTTGACGCGCTGCATTACTGGTGCATGTTTGCTGACTCATACAATAGGATAGAACTCGCACAGTCCGTACTTGTGCTGAGGCAGACAGGGGAGAGTTTACCGGCGACCGCCAAAACACCATCGTTGCATGCCGTGCACAATACAAAGTACATCTGCGAAATGCCGCCTATTCGTGCTGCCAACATATCGCCACCTACATTGCCCAGACCTAGCGCACAAGTCCGCTCATGCTTCCCCTCCCACTACCAAACCACGAACCCCTAGACCTGGGCTTCAATGCCGTTCGTTCCAGTCCACGACCTTCGGGTTGGCTGCCACCCTGTCCACGACGCCACAACTTGGGGTAGCCGTCGAGGATTGTTGTCGGAATGCCGTCCAGCACGCCCTTCCTCATCCATAACCCCAGGGTGTAAACAAACAGGTCTGCAACGTTGAGCTCGTCCCCGGCAGCATGTGACCACCCGTTGCTCGCCATCCTGTTCTCGATCATAGAGCACCACCTCGGCAAGGTCTCTTCGGCGAGCTCCTTTCAAGCAAAAGCAGGCAACCGTCGTTGAATTGGTAGTGGCTTTGTTGACATATTCTTGCGTTTAAGAAAGAATAGTACATTTGACAAATGACAATACGACCTACGATTTGGCCCTCAGCTCAGAAACCCACGTCCACTGCCTTGCGCGAGTCCTTATGACGAAGCCAAGGTGACAAAACTGAACCTTTGGAGGAGATTTTTCGAACAAGCCATGGTTTGTTTGCGCTGTAGAGCGGCGGTTTGGGCCTCCCCTTAAATTTGTTCGACTTTGTGGCGGTTACGTAATCTTTAGCGTCAAAGGTCGTTGGCGGTCGCGCCCCGCGCCAAAATGAGCCAAAATTGAGACAATACAGTCCCGTAGTGCGCACTATGCCCAAAGGGCAAACTACCAGAAAACGCAACAGCTTCATAAGACATAACGGACATCGCCTGGACATTTCCGCGCCTCTCGTAGCTTGCAAGCTGCACGCGGTATCTTTGGCATGGCCAATACAACAACTGAAGTCCGAAAAACTCATAATTTCCCAACAAGACAACCGGACAGCGTGGATGCACTGTCCACCCCCACTGCGCCACCTTTCTCAGCGCCATCTTCTCCTCCTGCGCCGCTGCGTCCCGCATGCGCATGGTGGGCACCAGCGCCGCCTCCACGTCCGTCACCACGTACAGGCACTCGTCCACCAGCATCGCGGCCACCGGGTCCTCCGGGTACAGGCCTGCCAGCCTGCCCGCGTACCGAAGGTGCGCCAGCGTCTGGGACACCACCAGGCCGTCCACCTCCAGGATTGGCACCTGGAAGAGTGGACCAGTCAGTGATCGCTGCTGTTGGGGACCCTTGCCGGTTGCGGAATGACCAATCCCATCCTGAACATTGTGTTTTCAGCCTGCGGTCGCCACTCAAGTAATGCCCCAACATAAAATCTGGACGGTGGTCGAGGAATTTTGCAGGGAATGAACACGGGCCGTGCAATGGGAACCGTGCTCCAGCGCAAAGATGGTCGGGGCGTGTGCACTGGGGTAGGTTTGCCTGTGAACTGCGAGATTGCGGGTCGTTGACTGCGATGGTGGGGATGCGCAACAGCGAACCTGGCCGAAGGGCAGGGAATCCCTCATTGCGGCGAATTCCTCGAAGGTGACACGCACGTCCTCGAATTCGATGCCGCCCATGTGGAAGGCCAGGCGCACGGGCTCCACGAAGCTCTTGAAGTCGAAAAATGTCAACCTGAGTTTGGGCGCCGTGGGGCCGCCGGTGTTTGCGGCCCCGCAGCGCGTGGGCGGCTGCCGCGCCTTGCACGGCCTCGGGCCGGTGACCACGGTCACTCCTCGCAACATGTCCCGAGGGTGTCGGTCCTACCCTGCCCTCAATTCCTCTGCAGGGTTTTCCCAGTCGTCAAATGGGTGTGAGTTGCTGGATAGGGAGATGCTCATAACGTGAGCCGAGGATTCGGATCGCACATGGCCCAGCTGCAAGTCGGTCCTGCACATGCGATTGTCTGGTGTGCGACTGTCCGGTATTATGCGATTGTCTGGCACTACGGCTCTATTTTGAAAATGGACTGGTAGTTCAGCCGTCCGCTCTGCGTATCCGTGGGCAGAATTGCGTATGCATGAATATATATCCAACCATGCATTTTCTTGTTGCTGGGCTTGCAAGTTCGTAGTATGGGATCCTCCCATCCTGTGGTGATGTTTCCTTTCCATTAACGTAACGCACATGTTTGCACATGGACGACGAAGCACATGTACGCGTATGTGGCTCACATCAGAGTCCCCAAGGTAGTCACAACATACTGCTGAGTCACCAATCCCAGGGGGTGCAGTCAGCTGATACAACATCCTTCGATAGCAATTACCGCTTGTGGGGAGGGGTGGCTCCAGTTCACTGGCTCGTTATCACGGGTTGGAATACCACCAACGTCTGCGGGCATGACCAGCGAGATAGACTCGATTTCTGGCCAGTTTGGCCACTGTTGTAACTAAAACTGATTGAGTATTACTGACAACTGCATGTATGAAGAGATGATGAGGCATTAGGCATTGCATTAACGACGTTGATGAACGGACTGAATATAATTAATTACAAGGGACAGAACTCTTGTTGTCCATTTGCCTCGGCTGTAAACCGGTGCCGTGGACTCGAGAGTGCGATCCCCGTTCAGGGATCGCCCCTCGTTCCTGCCTGCCTTCGACACCACCCCGTTAATTGAAACTTGGGTTAATTAGTCAGAACTCGTTGGTGTCCTTGTCCCATCACCGTCTTGGTTTGCTGCGCACGGGACGCGCACAGGACCAGCACGAAACCAGCAAGGACTGGCAAACGGCGCTCACCGCAGGTGTGCGAGCGGCAGCAGTCAAGGAGAAGCTCCGGGAGAGTGTCCAAGTTGCCGCGTCGGAACAGCACCAGAAGAGAACCCGTGGATCGATAATTCAGTCGCGGCTTCTCTCAGAGGCGCACCCGAACCTCACGGCATCCAGATTATTCCGCAGGCCCGTTGCCACAGCCGAACAGGAATTAAATTGCCGCCACTTGGCCAGTCCCGCACCCAGATCCGAACCGAGATCGCGCAGGTCCCGCCGTCCCACCCCTTCCGGAGCCGGCGATCAGTGCTTGTCGTTCCACTCCTTGACCTTGGGGTGCGCGCCGACCTTCTCGATGATGCCGCACAGCGTGGGGTAGGGGTCCAGGATGCTGGTGGGGATGCCGTCCAGCACGCCCATCTTCATCCAGGACCCGAAACTGTAGATCGCCAGGTCCGCCACCGTCATCTCCTCGCCGCAGGAGTAGTCCCCGGGCCGGGCGCTGTACCGCTTCTCCATCATCCCCAACCACTTGGGCAGGGTCTCCTCCGCCAGCGCCTTGCGCATCTCGAGCTTCTTGGCCTCGTCCTTCTCGAAGAAGCTCGGCCGCAGGGTGGCGCTCATGTCCTCCCCCGCGCACAGGGCCTCGTCCACGCGCATCGCGACCACGGGGTCCTCGGGATAGAGCCCCGCCAGCTTGCCGGCGTAGCACAGCTGCGCCAATCCCTGCGCGATCACCTCGCCGTCCACTTCCAGCACGGGCACCTGGCCAAACAACGAACAACCGTCGCCGCAACGATCGATGGGGCAGACCACAACAAGCGCCAAAGCCCCGGAATGTTCGGGGCTGCGTTCCGCATTGGCAGGATATGTTGAAGTTCTTGAGCGCGGTGGCAAAAGCAGGCGAGGGAAAATGACCCACCTGGCCGTAGGGCAGGGAGGGCTTCAGCTCCGCGAACTGCTCCCCCGTCAGCCTGTTGTCCTCAAACTCGATGCCGCCGATGTAGAGGGCCAGGCGGATGGGCTCTGCGCGCCCCTTGATGTTGAAGTAAGTGAGCTTGAGTGTCGGGGCCATGGTGAGGGAGTGCGCGGACAGGGCGGCTGTGGGCGCGGCTGCGAGGTTTGGAGCCGGGGGTGTGGGCGCACGGCAGAGGATTCGCGGCATAAATAGCGGCGCCCAGGCGGACAGAATCATGCCCTGCCGGCACAGACAAATCGGCGTTAACCGTTATGTAACCCTTACCGGCAGGCCGTTGCACAAAGTACAGTGGGGGACCCGGTTTAGCGACCCCTGTTCAGCGACCTGTCTGGGTTAAGCCACCCCCTGAACGGCTTGTCACCGTTCCCGCAGTACTTTATGGGTGGTGCTATGCGCAGTCCGCAGGGACGGGGGTCGCCGAGAATACATTAGTCCCTCTGACTTCCGTGACCATCCCTTCTTCTTCCGCGGAACAGGCCAACGCTGGTCAGTGGGTCAGTGGGTCAGTGGGTCAGTGGGTCAGGGTTTAGGGGGTGTCCGAAACAAGAAAGGATCTTCACGGAAACGGCAGAGCGACCAATTTCACGCTGGGGTCACCCATCACTTTGCCCTGTGACGTGGCACTTCGCCAAAACACCGGCCCCGCGATCTAGCCAACCACGGATCACCCCTCCCCACCAAAACACGATGCGTTCAATACTGAGAGCGCCCCCCGCCTTGTCCGTCAGTTGTGCGCAGCTGCGAGGTCTCCGTGTGGGACCAGCCCAGGCGCCACAGCGGCGATGGTCAACGCAGTGACCAAGAGGTCCCACGCCCCGGCACGGGACGACCATCGTCCTCACAGGCCACAGCATCGACAGCCGCATCACACCATTTCAAAGAAGGGGCTGGGTGCAATGGGTCAATGCCGGGGAACAGATCCCCATCTCTTTCGCCTGTCTTAAGGCACTCGACCAAAACAAACCATGCCCAGGAAAAGGTGCCACGGCCACCACCATGGCAACTGTAATCACAAACGAACCGCATTCGGTACAGAGTTAGAGAGGCAAGTTTCCCTGGATACGAAACCCACCACGAAAAGCTGCATGCGGTTCAAATATAGACACCAAAGTGCTCACCGTTTCTGTTGAAAACACAAGACGTACTCTGTGGATAAAAGGTCGGGTCTCAGCCTGGTTGTACACCATGCTCACCATCCAATCGATCACCTTGTAAATGTGTAGATTGGGATGCTACAGATCTCGTCGGCTTCTAGCAAAAGTTGCCTTGCAAAGAGGGCAAGCACACTGATGATGGGGAGTTGCAACACGTCTGTTTTAGTGTGCAAACGAAGGCCTCGATCTGATGGCCTGCCGTGGACATTCTAGGGAAATTCATGTCTCCGAGATCGGCTGGGCAAGTTGGGCGTTGGGCTCCTTAAAGCTGTGCAGGCTGGAAAGGATAGAGCATGTGAGACGCGGTTACTGGAGGCGTGTTTTTTTGCCAGGAATATGGCCAGCATGGGCATACCCTTTCTTCAAAACGGGCCGCATGGCGAAGCCGTTGTAGCCCCAGGCGGTGATGCGGCCGTCGATGCTGTGGCCTGTGAGGACGGTGGTCGCCCCGTGCCGGCGTGTGGGACCTCTGGGTCACTGCGCTGACCATCGCCGCTGTGGCGCCTGGGCTGGTCGCGCACGGAGACCTCGCGGCTGCGCACAACTTACGGACAAGGCGGGGGGCGCTCACAGTATTGAACGCATCGTGTTTGGGGGAAGGGGTGATCCGTGCTTGGAGCGGTCGCGGGGGCCTGGTGTTTTGGCGAAATGCCACGTCACAGGCCAAAGTGATGGGGGGGAAAAATATTACTGCCTGCACCAAATCGGTGACTGCTTGCACCAAGTCACGTGACACTTTGTCCTAACCTCAATTTTAGGGTTAGGTTTAGTTTCAGGGTGAGTTTTAGGGTTAGGGTTAGGGTTACGACAGGTTTAGGTTTAGGGTTTAGGGTTTAGGGTTTAGGTTAGGTTAGTTTGGACGGAGTTGGACATGATGTGCACGTGACTTGGTGCAAGAAGTCACCGATTTGGTGCAGCCAGTAATTTTATGCCGTGATGGGGGGCCCCCCAACCTCCGGACTGCATATAGGACTACCCCTTGGGCGCTGGGTGCTGGGTGCTGGAATGGGCACACCGGTCCCTCACACCCGCCCAGGGACCTGTCACCTGTACAACGTGAATCACGGTGCTTTCGTTGTAGTACGATCGTCAGGCTTTGTGTTCACCAGCATGATCTCATCTTGATGTCCCAAGGACGACAGGAAACATTTATGCAAGGTATGTACTTTGTACGGAAATTCCTGACGTCCACTGTTCTTTAGAGCACCTTTATCGGTGAGTGCTATTGTCCCCACCGGGGGTTTTCGGCTATTCGAATAGCACCACACGTCAAAACTACATCATTAACGGTTGGGGAGCAATAGCACCCCAATAGCACCGCCGATGCTGTTCGGTGCCGAGCGCTGCTATTCTGGGCCCGACTAGCACCGCTCGAGGCCAAACAGCACCCCGAAATAGCACCCAGTGCTATTCGCACAGAGCGTTGCAGTGCTGCCATGATGCTATTCGGCACAGGAATGGCACCCACCATTGCAGATGCACGCAGGGGAGCAATAGCACCGGTGCTAGTTGGCAAATGCCTCCTTAGTAAGGTGGCACGGCAGCCAATGAGGACCGTTCCTGGATAGCTCCGCTGGTGCAATAGGACTGGCCGATACAGATACTCTTACGTTACATAGTGACCACTGTTTTACTCCATGGATCACTTCTGAAATTGGCCTAAAACAAGGCAAAAATTTGCTGCAACTGTAGGGAAGACACTATGTCGAATTTGGTGGCTTAGCGTCAATTTCGACGCAAGAGGGTGGGATCCAGGCCTGTGAGGCTAAGAGATTATGATATTGCAACAACACCGTCATAAGCCGAGATGGTGCCCAAACTGGCGCTGCTCAGCTGCAGACCAGTCATGGCTTGCCCCAGACCTCTCTCAGACGTTCAATATTCAAGGGTGGCCCAAAACTGACACCATTGACAGCCTCCAGGGCTGTTCTTATTGACTGCCACCATTTCTAGTATCGTATTTCGATACTGCTGTAATGTCTGCATCTACGGCTGTTTGCCTTCCTTGAATACTTTTTCGTGTTCCCCACAACGTTTGCTCTCTAAGCAAACATAATACGTGTACAGGATCATTGATGCAGCACCGAATAACGTTGCGGCAATTCCATTTTCTCAGCATTGACGCACTGTTGGCAGCCACGTCGACGCTTCTCAGTATTGACACTTGTGCAGTTGCTGAAGCGTTGCTTGCCATTGTGTCAATGGCAATGCAGTCACAACATTCCATCAAGATCTACCTTTTTGTCCAGATGCCGTGGCATTCAGGGCCTTTGTTGCAGATCCAGGATGAGCCTACCATTCGCCCTTGGATGGCGTGTAGGTTTCAATGTAGGCGGCAAATTCCAAGCTAAACGATTATGTGCGTGATTGAAGAACCCAGCACCTCTTAGTTAGTTAAGCGACTGCCAATGTTTGATTGGGGTCCTCCGGGCCTTTTTCTGTCAACAAATCGCTATAGGAACCGGTGCTCTGGCGTGTGTGGGTCGGACAGTGCCCATCATGTTCCCGCCTTGGGCCATGTGCACTCGAGGTTGGGCGTTTTCTGACGCTTGAAACGGGGGGTCTTCCTTCACAACGCGAAGTAGGGCGCACGATAATCTCATGGGGTATTTGAGTACTTGTGGTTCAAGTCGTCGAACATTTGGGATCCGTAAAGATTGTCGACGGCTTTGCGCGGTGGAATGGTTTGATGCTGGCTGCACCCCCCCTGCCGGCTGCCCTTGAGCGCACCCATCGCGCCAAAGCGCGAGAGCCAATCCCACGCCTGTACATCGGCTGCCCCACTTCTCACGTAATCATCGTGTCGCATGGGAGGAATTTTGCAAGAGACTGCCGACGGGGATTTCTTATTTTTTTTGGATGCATTTCCACCCCTCGCTACCCGCTTCCCCAGCATATGTGACAATAGTTTAGCACGAGACCTGCACCGGTGGTTCAATACCAGCCTCTCGAACCAACCCGCTCAAAACATGACGCACTCAAAACATGACGCACTCAAAACATGACGCAACGCCACAGCGCCCCGATCCTCCCCCACAACTGCGCAAAAATCAAGCAGGAATTAAATTGTCGCCAGTAACATATTCGGAACCTGAGTACGTAATCGGGTACGTAATCGGGATTCCCGATCCGTTGCCAGCTCGCACACTTCCCGTCGCAGCTCCTTCCCAACCCACCGCCGGCGATCAGTGCTTGTCGTTCCACTCCTTGACCTTGGGGTGCGCGCCGACCTTCTCGATGATGCCGCACAGCGTGGGGTAGGGGTCCAGGCTGTTGGCGGGGATGCCGTCCAGCGCTCCCGACCTGATCCACGCGCCGAACGAATACAAAGCCAAGTCCGCCACCGTCAGCTCCTTCCCGCAGGAGTAGTCCCCATGCCGGCCGCTGTACCGCTTCTCCATCACGCCAAACCACTTGGGCAAGGCCTCCTCCGCCAGCGCCTTGCGCATCTCCAGCTTCTTGGCCTGGTCACTCTCGACGAAGGAAGGCCACAGCGTGGCGCTCATGTCCTCGCCAGCGCCCAGGGCCTCGTCAACGCGCAGCGCGGCGACGGGGTCCTCGGGGTAGAGCCCCGACAGCTTGCCCGCGTAGCGCAGCTGGGCCAGGCCCTGGGAGATGACCTCGCCGTCCACCTCCAGCACGGGCAGCTGGCCAAAACAAAAGGACGTCATCGCCACGCGCAACATGCGGCAAACGGCCCTGTGGTGAAGTTCGGAGTGCCCGGGGGCGTTTGAGCGCGATGGAGGAAGCTGGCGAGGTGAGCGGGCAAAAGCAAGCGGACGTCATCACCGTCGACAACAATCAGCAAACTGCCTTGCCGCGAATTCCCGAGCATTTGGGGCTGCGTTCCGCATTGGATTGAGCTGCGGGAGTGTTTTAGCCCGACGGGAGAGGCGGGGAAAGCGGAAGGACGAAATGGCGCACCTGGCCGTAGGGCAGGGAGGGCTTCAGCGAGGCGAACTGCTCCCCTGTCACTCTCTTGTCCTCGAACTGGATGCCGCCGATGTAGAGGGCCAGGCGGATGGGCTCCGCGCGGCCCTTGGTGTCGAAGTAGGTGAGCTCGAGAGTTGGAGCCATGGCGAGAGAGGGCGCAGCAGGCGCGGGAGTGGGCGCGGCTGTGAGGATCGGGTTTTGTCGTCCACGGGAACGGGGTGGTTCGGCCCCTATTAATAGGGCTGGCCGTTGGGGCAACGAAGTCATCCGCTGCCAATGAGTACGAAGCGTAGTCAGTCATCGCGTAACCGTTACCGGGGGGTGGTTGCAAAACCACGCGAGCCACCACCGGGGAGCACCCGCGACTCCACCACATTGCATGAGGCAAACGAGTCCGACACGCGACCAACCAGCCTACATGCAGCTTGCGAGCTGTGGATTGAGAAGCATTGTGTGTTGTTCGAGTTATCGCAATGGCGTTGTGGCGTCATCATTAATGAAGGTTTTATGTAGTTTGTCGGCCCCCCTTATGGTGCCGGGCTCGTCTGTGGTGCAGTGGACACTGGGATGGATCCGATGAGACTTGGAAGCTTAGGTGCGGCCCAATGCGTTTGGAAGCGCAGCGTATCGTCTGCTGGTTTTCGTGCCGGAATTGTGCTAGAGCTCAGCTGCAGTAGGAGATGAGTCTGGCATGTGTTGGGCTGACTGGCGATGGATATTGCAGTGAGAAAGAAACAACGACACGCATATTTCGTGAAGAGGTGCCTGTTTTGTTACGATTTAAAAGGGCATCCCTGCAAGCTTTTGAACTTGGGAATTTTGTCCTTTGAGCGCTAATACATTGGACATTCTGGCAAGTGAAGGACAATGGGTTCCATCAGCTGGCGCTCGTGCGATAATGAAACGTACTTGAGAGAGGACTTGCCATATGATTGAGCTGTTCTATGGGCATCTGTAAAAGGTCAGAATACTTTCGGATACAGACAGGCGGGAGGTTCCTGTGAGAAAGGAAGAAAATTGGTCGTGTTTCGTGTCGCCGTTGGCAGGGAAATTGTGTTCAAACTTGGGGCTGGACTAACAAATTCGAAAACTTGAGGTCCGTGTGGGGGTTGCCTTGTGAGGCTGCGTGTGAGCGCCGTTGAACCGGCGTCGAGTGGAGTTTCCGCTTCTTATGAGCCCCAAGGAGCCGTTTGAGTCATCACACAACCGGATATCATCAACAGCTAATCGGTCAATTCCATTGATGCATGAACATCTTTGCGGAAACGTGGCACTGATTCCCGTGGTCCCCTTGGGCGAGCGGCTTCCTACCTGTATCCGTTAAACATCGATTGATGCTGCGTCTAGAGCATTAGTTGCGTGCTTCGACGACGTGCCAGCAGCGAAATCTAGTCATTGCTAACGATGTTGATCACCTTGCCGGGCGTGGGGAATGGCGAAGATGTCAAATTTGGCGGCATGTACAGGCGGCAGCTTTGCTCTGCCTGTGCAACATAACCGGAAGCCCCTACCTGTACGATGCAGCTGGTGAGGCAACTTGCCATGGAAAAATATCCAAAGCCCCTAACCGGGGATCCCATCACTTTAACTCATGAGGCGCAGTTACTTTGGGAGATAGGTCGCAGAAGGGAGGGGAAAATGAAATGAGCTTCTCTCATTAGTAGATGTCAGGAGTAAGGCAAAGAAGTCTTGTAGGCAAACGGCCTGCAGCGCAGTGATTGTGTAGGGTTGAGAAATGCAATAACTGCAGCGTTGGAAGGCGACGGGGGTAGCCCTAGAGGCTGCCAATTGAGATATTTCAGGGCATTCCAAAAGAGCGAAGCTTGAAGGAGGATTTTGGACAAGTCACGTTTGTTTGCCGCTGATCAGCTGCGGTTTGGACTTCTCCTCAGGACATCTTGAATTTGATACAACTATACATTTTCTTAGCGCCATTGGCATGGACCCCTGTTACGTCAATTCGATGGTAAGCGTAACACAATCGAATAGTTTATTCCCTAAAGTTAAGGAGCCAGCAACTGTGGGCAATGTATTTCAGAGTAAAGAAGCAGGAAAATCTTGATCCAGTAGTAAGAAGGGTGTGCTGGTGAACGGTCACGATGTCAAGACAAGTAGGCTGGAAATAGGGTCATCATGCACTGCATAGCACCACGACATGACATTCACTTGCAGTGCAGGCACCTCACATAGCAGTGTCCATGAGCTGGTCTGCACTGCAGTGGGCTCTTGTCCTGAATCTCGACCTAATCTCCCATTGTGCGTGTTGTCCATACTGGTCAACTTGTTAACAAAGAATTGTTCGCAATTACATATAAATATCAGAGCAGTGTCGTCCTCACACCCATCTATTCCATCAAGTCGAGCAAATCTTTTTCAATAGTGCTCTTATATCCGTCATCATTTGATCCAATGCCTGGTCGTCCTTCTCCTTCACCTGCCGTCTGTGCTCATCTATATCTCCCCTCTGCCTTATAACCCCCTTACTGTTTACATCTTCACTGCTATGACGTTGTTGGCCAACAGCTGGTGCATCCCAATCGTCTCCGGACTCTGAACGCCGTCTCTTGGCATCAAAACCACCTGCAGCTCCAGATGTGCCCGCTCTCATAGCACTGCCCCTGTCCCTCTTCCTTCTGGCCACCTGCAGCCCTTGCCGATCAATGATGGCACGTGAACCTTCCCGTGCCATTCGTCTGCTATCCCAGTGTGAATCGACAGCCTGTGATCCCTTGCGGACTGTCCGCCTACGATTCCACTGCGAATCCAGAGACCCCTCCTTCCCCGTCCCTCTTCCAGTGTTGTGTAATTCACCACCTCCTGGCCCCTCTCGAGGCATTCGTCCGCGATCCCAATGTGAGTCAAAATCCTGACTCCCTGCCCTGGCAGTTTTCCTGTGATCCCATTGCGAGTCAGAGCGCTGTTGGCCCCCTTGTGTCATACGCCTGCGATTCCACTGTGAATCAACATCCTGTGGCCGTTCCCATGACTTCCGCCTGCGATCCCATGGTGGATCACCACTGTGCTCCTCTCCCTTGCTCTCCCACCTTCTCCCATGCTCGCCTCGTGCCCTCCTCGCCACCTGGTCATTTGTCCACCGTCGTCCCTGCCCAAACGGCTCATACAGGTCTCCATTCAGGTCAGCACCTTTCACCTGGCAGTGATCCTTGTATTCTGTTCCCCCTTGCCTGTCAGCATATTTGCCCCACTGCACTGTCCCATCTCTGTCCACATTCATACGCCTCTGCCTGAACGCATCATTAGCGGGCCGAGGGTCCCAAGGGCCCAGTCGCTCTGAAGCCTCGGCCTCCAGTCGGCGTTGCTCCTCTTGGAAACTTGCCAATGATGTGGAGTTCCCTCTGTCAATGACCGTTCTCCCACCACGTGAGTATGTGGTCGGTAGTCCTCGGGAGCTGAGGATTTTCTCACGCAGGGCCACCACCACCTCTTCATCCTTGTACTTGAGTGCATCGAGATTATAGGCCATAGTGGCCCATTCCTTCTCTGAGAACCTGAACAGGCGCTCCACCTGGACGATTTCTTTCCAAACCTCGTCCAGCAGTTTCTCGCTTCTGTACCTCAGCGATCCAAAGCCGCATATGGTGTTGTACAAGTCGTGATCAGACATCTCCTTTAGTCTCTCTGGACGCATGATCTCAGCCTTCAAGGCACGCACAGTGGGCTTGTCCTTGAACTTGAGGACGCCGATGCTGTACGTCACATTAGCAATGTGATGGGCCCTTGCAGTAGCCAGCCGCTTGGACTTGCAAAACTCGTTGCATAGCGCCAGTAGGGTGCCCTCATGGGCGTATTCCAGCTGGGCCATGCTGTACAGACTGCTTGCAAGGCCTTGCACAGAGATTTGCTCCAATCTCTCCTTCTTGGTCATCTCTTTCAACAATGCACTCAGTACCTGGCGATTGCGCTGTTGTTTCACACCCATGGCAAACAGGATGAGTGACAACTCCAGAGCCTTGAAGCCCTTCAACCGCGACATAAGCACAATTTCCCGGGTCAGAATGTTCCAAGCCCGTTCATCCACCTGCCGCAAATTAGACAGCCCATACAGCAAGTGCGTAAGGCCCTGGCACGAAAACTCCTTGATGCGCTCATGCTTGAGGGCTTCATTCACAACAGGGCCAACCGCCCTTGCTCCTTCCTGGCCTAGTCTGCACAGACCCAGCACTACGACGGACAGCTCTTGCTCCCTGTAATTGGCCACTCTGTGCGGGCTGACAACTTCCTGCACCAGGCGGCCCACCAGCATACAGTCTGAGAATCCTGCACCCGAGACACCGTGGACAATGTTCGCCAGCCCCTGGCCAGTGAACTCTTGGAGGCGCTTTTGCAGCGTGACTTCCTCCATGAGCTCAGCAAAGATTTCTCTCTTACTGCATCGCATTCGACCAAGGCTGTATACAATGGCAGATATGTGATTGGGCCTATACAGTGGCAGTCTCTCTGGCTTTACTATCTCGGCCATCAGCAGGTCTACAGTTGGGAAGTCACCATGCTCAAGCTGGCCCAGGCCATAGCAGATGCCATGCAAATGGCTGTTGGTGTACTCCTGGAGCCTTTGCGGGGTCAGTGCCTCGTCCAGCAGCACTTGAAGCATCAATGGGTCTCTGAGGTGCAATTTCCCCAAGGCATACAACACATTACAGAAGTGTGGGGTTGCAAATCCAGCCACCCAATCGGCATCTGACAACCTCTTCACCAGGTGCTCATAGATGCCCTCCCTCGTGTACATAAGCACACTGAGGCTATACATTATGCTTGACAATTCCTGATGAGAGAATCTCATAACTCGGTCAGGCTCAAGCGCTGTCTCGATCAGTTTCTCAACAACATTTGCGTTTCTGACATCTTCTTCCACATTGGCCAAGTTGTACAGTGCAGATGATAGTCCCTGTTCAGTCATGACGCTGACATGCCTAGTCTGCGACAGTTCATTCATCAGCGGTCCCATGATGTTCTCTTCCCGGACGCCCATCATACGAAGGTTAGTTGTGAGAATCGACAGGGCCTGCTCTGAAAACGTCCCCAGGCGCTCGGGCCTCAGACACTCTGCCACAACAGCATCCACAAACTTCTCATCAACAGCACCGAGAATCCGGAGGTTTTGAACAAGGGATGTCAAATCTGTT